ATCTGTGCCCAACTCCTAGAGGCAGGAGGATGCATTAGTGATGTGGGCCTGAGCAGCATCATCCAGCAGTTAAAGCACCAGGTGCTGCTCCTGTTGGATGACTATCATGGGATGGACTCACTGCCCCAAGCCATAAAAACCCTGATTACAAGAAACTACTTGACCCAAACCTGCTTATTGATCACTGTCCATACAAACAGGGCCAGGAACATCCGCCCATACCTAGATACAATTCTAGAGATCAAAGAGTTTCCCTTCTATAACACTATCTCTGTATTACGGAAGTTATTCTCACATGATCTAGCCCGTGTTCGAAGGTTTGTTATTTACTTTGGAAAGAATGAAGATTTACAGGGAATTCACAAAACTCCTCTCTTTATGGCAGCAGTCTGTACTGACTGGTTTCAAAATCCTTCTGACCAGTCCTTTCATGATGTGACAGCTTTCAAGTCCTATATGAAATACCTTTCCTTAAAACACAAGGCTACACCTGAGCCTCTCAAGGCCACTGTGTCCTCATGTGGCCAGCTAGCTTTGAGAGGCCTTTTTTCATTTTGCTTTGAGTTTAGTAGTGATGACCTCACAGAAGCAGGCGTTGATGAAGATGAAGATCTGACCACCTGCTTGATGAGCAAATTCTCTGCCCAGAGACTGAAACCAGTCTATCGGTTCTTAAGTCCTTTATTCCAGGAATTTCTGGCTGCCATGAGGCTGACTGAGCTCCTGGGTTCAGAAAGGCAGGGAGACCAAGATTTGGGACTTGGTTATTTGAGACAAATTAACTCACCCTTGAAGGCTATGAATGCCTACAGCAATTTTTTGAAGTATGTCTATAACCACCCTTCATCAAAGGCAGGGCCAAAAATTGTATCTCATTTGCTTCAGTTGGTGGATGATAAAGAGTCCCTGGAGAACATGTCTGAAAATGAGGCTTATGTGAAGCTCCATCCAGAAACTTCCCTGAGGATAGAGTTTGTTCGGTGGTTGTGGCAGGTATCTCCTGAAGCTTTCTCTTCATTTGTTTCAGAACATCTATTGAGCATTGCTCTAAACTTTGCTTATGAAAGCAACGCGGTGGCTGCCTGTTCTCCATTTATTTTAAAATTCCTTCAAGGGAGAAAACTGGCTTTGAAAGTACTGAATTCACAGTACTTTGGGGACCACCCAGAAAGTCTGCTATTATTGAAGAGTATTGAGGTCTCCATAAGTGGAAATAACAGGATAAGGAGAATAGATTTTCCACTCATGGAAAAAGATTTTGAAAAATTACAGCCCCCAACTATAGATGAGGACTATGCATCTGTCTTTCAACCTATGAATGAATGTGAGAAAAATTTATCTGAAAAAGAAGAGATAATAAAAAACTATTCAGATATCCAACGCCAAGCCCCACCCAACATCAGTGCTGGCTACTGGAAACTGTCTCCCAAGCCGTACAAGATCCCTAGGCTGGAAGTTAGAGTGGCCAGCATGGGTCCAGCAGACCAAGCACTGCTCCGGGTCCTAATGGAAGTCTTCTCGGCATCACAGAATATCGAACTCCATTTGAAACACAGCAGTGGCTTTCTTGAAAGCATCCGCCCAGCTCTGGAGCTGAATAAGACCTCTGTCACCAAGTGCTCCATGTGCAAACTGGAGCTCAGTGCAGCAGAACAGGAGCTGCTTCTCGGCCTGCCTGCCCTGCAGTCTCTTGAGGTCTCAGGGACAAACCAGTTACCAGGTACCCCCGAGTGTCACATAACCATTCTGATTGACACCTTGTCTTCTTATTCCTAGTTTTATATGAGTGAAACTTCTCAGGCACAAGGTCATGAATGTGCCTTAATAGAATAGATCTAAGTACTTTTACTGTTTGGGGCAGTGTGTAATTTAGTGACAGGCCCTGAATCATTAATGGATTTCACATAATTCAAACAAAATTAGCTTAACACTAACATCAGTATGTCATTGCTTGAGGGAAATCTAAGGGTATTTGAATGGTTTGTTATTAGTAAATGGTGGACTGTGTGTGAGACGATTCTGGAGAATCATCTGCACCCTGACTGTCTGAAGAAGGAGCGGGTTTAGCTTCTCCAGAAAAGGAATTCAAAAGTGGGAACAGTAAAGTCTTACTTAGGTTTCTGTTGCTGTGATATAAAACAGTCTGACCAGAAGCAACTTGGGGATGAAAGGGTTTTTCTCACCTTACAACTCCCAGGTCACATAGTCCTTCACTGACGGATGTCACGGCAGGAACTCAGGCAGGAACCTGGAGGCAGGAACTGGAGAAGAGACCAGGGAGGCATGTTGCTTACTGGCTTCCTTCCCTTGGCTGCTTATACAGCTGACTTCTTATTCAGCTCTGAACCACCTGTGCAGGGCTACTGTCCCCACTGAAGCTGGCCCTCCGTCAACAATAACTATTCAAGAAAATACCTTATGGCTGGAGAGATGGCTCAGAGGTTAAGAGCATTGGCTGTTCTTCCAGAGGTCCTAAGTTCAATTCCCAGCAACCATATGGTGGCTCACAGCCATCTGTGATGAGATCTGGTGATCTCTTCTGGCTTGCAGGCATACATGCAGGCAGAATAGTATATACATAATAAATAAATAAATAAATAAATAAATAAATAAATAAATAAATAAATAAATAAATAAATAAATAAATAAATGAAATACAAAAGAAAGAAAATACCTTACAGACTGCCTATGGACAACCTGATGGTATTATTTTCTAAACTGGGGTTCCTCTTCCCACTTAACTCTAGGTTGTTTCAAGCTGACAGAAACCAACCAGGTAAAAATATCTCCTCTAAGTAATATCTTCTTTTAAATAATATTTGGTAGTTTTCAGTCCAGACTTTACCTGACTTTCATTAAATTTGTTGATAAGTGCTTATGAGTTTTGGTAGCCCTATAATGCTTTTTTTTTAAAAAAAAATTTCATAATCATAACTAGTATAAGCTTTTGTCTTTAGCTACTTGTTACATTCTTAGGAATGTTTTGCTTGTCTATATCTGTGTTCTTTACATTTTTTAATTGTGCAAGTTGTGTGTCTGTGTGTGTGTGTGTTTGCAAATGTGTGCATGGGCACATGACCATGCCACAGCATGTATATGGAGGTGAAGGGACAACCTCAGGAATGACGTTCTTCCTCTCCACCATGCAGATCTTAGGGATTGAAATTAGGTTGGCAGGCTTGGGACAAGTGCTTTTTTCACAGAGCCACATCCCTGTGCCATACACCCCTCTTGTGTAGGAGAGGGTCTCATATAGTTTTGGCTGGCTTTGAACTCATTGTGTCTTTGACTCTGACCTTGAACTGCCTGAGCCTCTTGCTGCCATGTCCTGAGTGCCAGACTGCAGGCATGCTTCAATATCTAGTCCCTCAGAAAATAAAAATATTTTTGACTTTGATCATAAATATCATCCCACAGATTCCAAAAAAAAAAAAAATGTCACTTGTCTCATGTGAAATAGAGACAAAGAAGGGCTGGCATGTTACTTGGTCAGTAGAGTGCTTCCCTCTATACACGGGGCTCTGGTTCAATCCCCGGCACTGCAGGAGTGAGCGTGATAATACAAGTGTGCATTCTGAGCACTCAGGAGGCTAAGAGGGTCAGGACTTCTGTAGTCAATAATATTTCAGTGTGTGTGTGTGTGTGTGTGTGTGTGTGTGTGTGTGTGTGTGTGTGTGTATTATTATGTGTTCCATTTTGCTTCTCCTTACATCCATTGATGAACACTGGTTGTTTCCATTTTCTGGGTATTATGAGGAATGTTGTCATGATGATTTGTGTTAAAAGTATCAGTTCGATCTCTGCTGACAGTTGTCTTGGGTATATCTAGGAATAGAATTGCCTGTTCATATGGCAATTCTAATGTTTTGAGACAGGGTCTCACTCTATAGCCCAGGCTATCCTTGGAACTCACTATGTAACACAGGCTGGCTTTGAACTCATGCTGATCCTCCTCCCTCAGCCTCTCAGCCACTGGTGTTACCTCTGTGTGCCACCACATCTTCTTGTGTTTAACCTTTTGAGGAACTCCCCCAACAGTGTTCCGTGAAGGCTACCCCATTTACCCTCCCACCTGCCATGTGCAAGTCTCCACTTTCTCCACATCTTCCTTAGCCTCACTTTCCCTCTGCTTTGCTGTATCGTGAACACATTCTAGTAAGTCAGCATTCTCCTATGGCAGAATGAGATTGAGCATATTCTCAACTGCTCATAGTGGCTTTTTATTTTTGTTTTGAGAGATGCCCATTCAAATTCTTTGTAATTTAAAATATTTGCCTTAAAAGATTTGGGTTGTTCTTTTGATCTTGACACTCCAAGGCTGAGATAGGAGGAGTGCCGGGGGTCTGAGGCCGGCTCTACCTAGTGAGTTCTTGACCAACCTGGGCAATAGAGCAAGACCCTTTCTCCAACAAAACAAAATCAGCAGTTGCAGGAGTTCTTCCTGTATTGTGAGTATTAAACTTTTATGTTACAAGGGAAGAATCTCATTGGGAGAGCACTTGCCTACCAGGTTCAAGGCCCTGGATTCCATCCCTAGAATGACAAAAGTAAATCTATCAAAATCCTTATCAGACACATGGTTTGAAAACCTTTTTCTCCCATTCTGTAGATTTTCATTTTACCTCTTTAATGTCCTCTGATGCATGAACAATTGTTAATTTTGATAAGGTTTAATTTATCTTTTTTTCTTGATACTGTTTTTATAGCACATTTAAGGATCCAAAGTCATGAAGATTACCTGTTTCCTTCTAAGAGTTCTATGTTTATTAGTAGTAGTAGTAGTATTCTATGTCTTTTACATCATGTATCTTGATCCCATTCATTTCCCTGTCCTTTCATATCTGCCCTCCTCCCCTGCAACCCTCCCAAATAAAACATTTAAGAGAAAAAAAGGAAAAAATAAAAAGGGAAAAATTAAAAAGGGAAAAAATTAAAAATCTCATCATGAAAGCTGCAGTGTGACAGAGTGAGTCATGCCCTTCCCTTTGTCCATATATCTTTACTTGCAAGTGTTCATTGCAAGGAGTCATTCATTAGTCTGATAAAGGTGGAGTTTCTCCCAAATAACCACTCAGAGGGTTAATATTAATTATGAAAGCTTGACCAATACCTCAGGCTTGTTACTAACTAGCTCTTACAACTTAAATTAACCCATTTCAATCAATTATGTGTTGCCACGTGGCTTGTTGCTCATTACCTCATTTTGTACATGTCCTGCTCCCTATGTGTCTGGCTGGAGACTCCTCTGACTCTGCCCTTCTTCCCAGCATTCTCTCTGCCCCAATAATTCTGCCTAGCTATCAACCAATCAGCTTTTTATTAACAATGGGAGAAATAAATATTTACAGTGTACAGATTGTTCCACAGCATTTCCCTCTTTTTGTCTAATTAAAAAGGAAAGGTTCTAACTCTAATGTAGTAAAACTATATACAACAAAAAATACTTATCAAGTAAGAATTACAGTTACAATGTCCAGTCCATTTGTATTTGGCAATATTAGAGAAAATACTCCATTATCTATCTTATCTTTGTGAGTCTAAAGTTTTATAGACTTTATAAAACTATAAGTTTATAAACTATTATAAATTAGGTAAATTTTACCTAATTTACCTTTTATCATAACTAAGGAATACTTTAGCTATGACAGTAAATTAGGTAAAATTTACCTAATTTATAATAGTGTGTGTGTGTGTGTGTGTGTCCTGCTGGTCCAGTTAGGACAATACACTGTCAGCAATTGAGGCAAGGGCAGTTCCCCGCCCCCCAAATGTCTAACTTTTGCTGTAAAGAAAACAAACTCCCTATGTAGTTTCTTTGATGTCTATCCTCCTCTTTTGAAGCTAATTGGTGCTGTCAGGAGCAGACATGCCTCACTGTCATGAAAAGCCTTGGGTTATTAAAAATATTAAATGCCATATTCTGCAGGTCTTTGAAGTATTTGAAGACCATCTATCTATCTAAGTATATCTATTTAACCTTGAAAGCAGACCTAATGTGATTACAAGTTTGATTATTATAGGTGACTGACTACTAACTGCATTTCTTAATTATATATTACATTTTTAAATGAGCTGCATAAGCACAATACCCCAAACGAGAGTAGAAACATGCATACAGTATAACAAAATTAACTTTAAATTCTATCAATATACCCAAATCCATACCAATGTAAAATATTTTGAGATTAATAGTTATTTTTTGGATTAAAGTAGACTCAATAATCTACCCTTCTATCTCATCGTTTCTATATCATATTCCCCTCTTTTCCTTTTGAAAGAGGTCTTTGAATTTAACTCCTTTGTCTAGCCTCCTTTTTTTTAACTATGACTAATAATAACTTATAACCAACCCCCTTTAAATGATGACAAATATCCATAACCAGTCTTATGGGAATGTGGGTGTTGTTTTCTCTAGATGGCTTCTTGCTGTCTGGGGCACTGGCATCTTTTGGGGAACCTTGAGAAAATCAGGATACTTGTTAAGTCTTGGCTGGAATAGTTTGTGAGGCTCTACCAGCTCAACCAGCATCCTTGAAGCTGTTTTGGATGCAGAAATCTGAGGAGACTGTAACAGAGGCATTTTGATGCTGGATCACCTGGGCCATTTGTTTTCATTGGTATCTGGTCCCCTTGTTCTGAAAATACATAAATTTTTACTTGTGTTAATACATATCTGTATTAATATAAGTACAGGCTGTGTGTTGTACACAAGTTAGCCAAAGATGATTTTTTTAAAGATTTGTTTACTTATTATGTACACAGAAGAGGGTGCCAGATCTCAATATAGATGGTTGTGAGCCACCATGTGGGTGCTGGGAATTGAACTCAGGACCTCTGGAAGAGCAGTCAGTGCTCTTAACCTCTGAGCCATCTCTCCAGCCCCCAAAGATGATTTTTTGTTGTAGAAGTAACCAACCGTCTTATTAAATAAGAAACACAGAGCTAATGTAAAGATAAAAGCCCAAGAGGTCAGAGCTAAGAGCCTTACCCTTCCTGCTTTAGTGATCCTCTTCAGCCAAGAGAGAGACCTACTTCCTGTGTGTTTGTCTTTATATAGACTTTCTGTTCTGCCTTCTCATTGGTTATAAACCCAACCACATGACCACCTAGTTACTGCCTGTCTGTACAGACCTCCAGGTCTTCTATGGTAGGTATTGAGATTAAAGGCATGTGTCTCCAATGCTGGCTGTATCCTTGAACACACAGAGATCTACCTAGCTCTGCCTACCAAGTGCTGGGATTAAAGGTGTGCGCCATGACCGCCCAGCTCTGCTATGGCTTGCTATTAGCTCTGACCCCCAGGCAACTTTATTTATTAACATATAAATAAAATCACATTTCAGGACAAATAAAACATTGCCATATTTTGTTTTATGTTTGAGCAGGTAAAATATATGTTATGTGTTTTATAGTCTTTCTATGTTTATTTCTTTATGTTGATAGTCAGGATTTTCAGGGGGTCCTCCCCAATCAAACCTGATCCATATCAACCTGGAATGAATCCACAGCCTCTTATTTCCTGTGGAAATAAAAGCATAACTTCTCCCTCAAAGTAACATATCTTTTGATTTTCATTTTGAAGTCAAGACGTTTTTTAAAATATATATGTTGATTTAATCCAGCAGTATTCATAATCCAAAGTGTCTTAGCAGCTGTCATTCCTTCATCAGCAATCAGAAAATTCAAAGACAACACAATAACATACAGAACTGACTCCCCATGTATTTTTCATCTTTGCATGATTTTTTTATCTATATTACTTTATTCTTTCTTTAAAGACTTTATTTTATTATTTTTAAATAATTTTTTTCTGTGACTGTCTATACCATTTCTCTTTTCTCTCATAAGCCTATGTACATTTTTAAAAACACTGCAATCCGTTTAGAGGTTTCTTTCATCTGGATCTGTCTTTACTGTGTGTCTGTAATCTTTTCTGTTTTCATGAGCAAAACTGAGACCACTGTGCAGCTTAGATCACGGCTTGCTGGCAGCTGACTCCTCCCCGCTCTGTTCCCCCAGAGCCCAGTCTCATGGCGGAGGTACCAGTGGGAACCATGTTTACTGACAGCTCTGGGAAGGTTTTGGTTCTATGCTGCTGTAGGTGTCTCCACCCAGTCCCATGCCTTGGAGCAATGGGCTGCCTGCTTTTCATAAATCCCACACAAGTGCTTGGCAGCAGGGCCTCCCAAAAGAGCCATGCCTCTGTTTGTTGTTAGCACTGAGTTTACCCAAAAGAAGGTGGTATCAGGAAGTTGCATTTGACTCTGTGTGTGTGTGTGTTTAGAACCTTTTGTGAGTTTTTGTTTGTTTGTTTCTTTTTGTTTTTTGAAACAGAGTTTTTCTGTGTGTAGCTCTGGCTGTTCTGGAACTCACTCTGTAGATCAGGCTGGCCTTGAACTCACAAAGATCCACCTGCCTCTGCCTCTCTGAGTGCTGGGATTAAAGGCGTGTGCCACCCTGAACCTTTTCTTAAGCTTTCTCAGGTTTTATGTGGATATATGTGTTTCCACATTGAGTGCCATATGTAGGCAGAGTTTCTCTGTGTCTTGGCAGTTGCTCCCTAATACCACACAGAGACTTATTATTAACTATAAATGCTCAGCTGATAGCTTAGACTTGTCTCCAGCCAAGTTTTACATCTTAAATTAACCCATTTCAATCAATTATGTGATACTATGTGGATCACTGCTTATTACCTCATTTTGTACATGTCCTGCTCCCTCTGTGTCTGGCTGGAGACTCCTCTGACTCTGCCCTTCTTCTTCCCAGCATTCTCTCTGCCCCAACAATCCTGCCTAGCTATCAGCCAATCAGCTTTCTATTAACAATGAGAGCAACACATATTTACAGTGTACAAAGATTGTTCCATAGTAATCTGCTTTGAGGCCTCTGGTTTCTACTACACTATCAATGCTGGGTCCTCACTAGGACTCTTCCTGAGTATCATGTTGTTGCCCTGTGTTGTGGAGATCTTGCAACTTTGGGCTTGCAAGTCAGGTTCCTTCACATGCTCCAGTGGGTCATAGATGAGGTGGATGTTGGGGCAGCCCAAGTTATAACCCTGGGTCTGGGCCTGGGTAGCTAAGGGTTGGTCTGCCAGATGAGAGATGGGGACGGCTCTCCCATGTTTATAATTTGGGGGCTGGCTCACCCACACCTGAGCTAAGAGGGTTGGTTCTCCTGTTTTTATGACCTCAGGGCCAGCTCTCCCACCTGCCCCGGTGTTGGTTTTAGTTCTTACATTTGTCATTAATTCACTTTGAGCTGCCTTTTATGAGTTGGAAGCAGGAGTCCAACTGGGTCCTTTTGCTTGTGCAAAAGTCTTTGTTCCCACACTGTTGGTTGGGGAGATATTGTGGGAATCCCTGCAGGTTCCATACAGGGAAGCAAACCGCCAGAAGAGATAAGAATGAAAACTCCATCAACTTGGATCAGACTTTGGGGAGTCTAATAACAGGCAGTTTATTCACAAGGTATTTAAGCCCAGTGTAATTTGGGAGGAAAAAGTTTCCTGGTGCAATACAATCCCCATTGCATGAGGAAGCATCATTACATTGAAACTCAACTTGGGGTATATGTCATTTCCTCCAAGAAGATGGGTTCTGGAGATAGGCTACCTGTACTAGCTTAAGTGACTGAGGGTCTGGCCTGACCTTGTTCATACAGATAGTGTAGAGGTCATTTGGGATATTAGCGACCCCTGTCCTGGTTGAGGGAGGTTGGGGGAGCCTCTGGCTGTTGGGTCATTTAGATTACTAGCCACCTCCAGTCTTGGTTGTAGGAGCTTCACAAGGCCTGGCCCACCAGATGAGGCAGATCACCCGGGATGTTAATCACTTCCAATTCTCAGCTTTCAGAGTGGTAGGACAGGTTTTTCATCTTTCCCATTGGAAAGACAATCGTGCATGCTTAACATTCCTGGTTTCTCTGGAGATCGGTGGGCTCCAGGACGTTCATGCTATGCTCCCAACAAGATGTCTTATTTATTTTGTGAGTCTAGCGAGCAGCACAGGGCTTCCCCTATGCTCTACGAGCAGCAGATGCTGCAGATGGCAGGTTCTTCATTGATGTGCTTCATAAGAAGATGTTAAGATCTTGGCGGGGCAGTGGTGGCACACACCTTTAATCCCAGCACTTGGAAGGCAGATGCAGGTGGATTTTTGTGAGTTTGAGGCCAGCCTGGTCTACAGAGTGAGATCCAGGAAAGGCGCAAAGCTACACAGAGAAACCCTGTCTCAAAAGATCTCTGAAGAATTTTGTTATGAAAATATCTAAAAATCACAGCACACTTGAGAACTTCCACTTGGGACTCTAGTGATGGAAACTATGTGCTGCTTTCCAGATCAACTCTTCGCTAACTTGGACAAGTTCTCAAGCCTGAAAGAATTGTCTGTGGGACTAGATGGCATTCCAGATGTGCTTTCAGTCATCCCTGGAGATTTCCCAAACCTCCACCACATGGAGAAGTTATCCATCCAAACTTCCACAGAGTCTGACCTCTCCAAACTGGGTAAGAATGGCGCTTGGATCTCCCAGGTCATGTGTCAGCTGGAAAAGCTACTTGGCTAATAATTGTTAGAATCATGAAGTCATCATTAGTTAAAACTTCTGTGAGCCTGACAGCGTAAACTGTGTCCATGGGAAGGTGTGAGAACAGCACTCTTCCTCATTAAGAGGGGAGACATTTATTTGTAACCCCGAGTCTCTAACATGACTGGAATTGTTCTGAGCTCTGTACAAATACTAACTCACTCTTCAGACCACTGTGTGAGAGAAGACACAATGATTATTGCTGATTCTCAACTGGGGAAACTGAGGTCAGTGATTGCTCAGGTTTATCCAGCTAAGAAAACGTATCTTCAAAAGAGAAGGTGTGACTCCAGGGCCTGAGGTTTAAACTCCCAGCACACTTCTTTTCAAGGCAGTTTGTGGAGTTCTTTCCTTTTGATGTTGTTTTAGTGGCGCTTGCAGATCTGCCTGCTGAGGGAGGAAATCTGACTGGGGGCAACCTGGACCTTTCCTCCACTTCTCTCCATCCCAGCCTCCTGTTGATGGACAGCTGTGCAGACATCTTTCTAGAACATGTCATTGAGCAAAATGACTCAGGCCCTGTCAGATCCTTAATTTGTTAAACCCTGAACACTGAGGACTAAAGAAATACAAACCTGGGACTGACATGCAGGTCAAAAAGTCACTCATGCCTCTCATCACAGCACTTGGGAGGCTGCCGCAGGACTATCACAACTTCAAAGCCAGCCTAGCTATGTGGTGATTTCCAGGCCAACACTACCCACAGGGAAAAAAAAACAACAACCAAACAACAGAAAAATTATGTCAAATGAGATGGGTCAGTGGGTGCTTGCTGCCAAGTCCAATAACAGGTTGGGTCTGTGGGATCCCATGGCAAAAGGATAGAACAGATTCCCCCCAAGTTGTCCTTTTGTGTGTACACACACACACACACACACACACACACACACACACACACACAGCAGATTGTTTAAAAACATTTTAAGTTGTGCTTCAGAGTTGCCCCCTCTTTTATGTGACTCTGTACAGAATTCCTGCTGTGCCAGGGCAGTGTGCAAACACAGAGATATCAGGGTGCTGATGCTGAAGGTGAAATATGGAGAAGAGAAAACTGATCCAGAGAGGGTCAGAAACCTGCCCAAGGTCTTCTGCTCACCAGTCAGTGGCAGAAGCTGAGCACACGCCCAACATGGCCTGAGCACTAGATCACTGCATCACTGTCTGTTTAATGGTGTGGCTGGAGATTATGGACTGAGAGGACAGTCCAGAAAGGAATTTGAAACCTCTAATTTCTGAATATCCTTCATCTTTTCCAGTCAAATTCATCCAGAGCTCTCCAAATCTTCACGTTTTCCACCTGAAATGTGATTTCTTTTCGAATTGTGAGTTTCTCATGACTGTGCTTGCTTCCTGCAAGAAACTCAGAGAGATTGAGTTTTCTGGACGATGCTTTGAAGCCATGCCATTTGGTAAGAACTATAAGCTTACAACTGTGACTTCAGATGCTCCTGTGCAAAAAGTCATTAAATACTCTAGAATTAAAAGTCTGCTGATGTCACAGAAACTGTGACAGCACCTGACTTCAGTGAGTCTTTC